GGTTGCAATTCAGGAGAAAAATTTAAGGTTGCAAATTAACAAATTTAATCATCAACATAAGTAATTGCAACTTCTAATGGTCTGAATAATTACAATAGAACAACACACATTGCAAATTAGGAAAAAATCTTCGAACATAAAGCCTAAAATTACCCGAGATTTTTCACATGCGGCATATCTTCTTCCCGGATTATGGTCTGTCCATGAGGTCTTCATTACGGCCCTTTGCTGACAACTGCAGAAATCGCCATTGCCGCAACTGCAGAAATCGCCATTGCCGTCACCTCGGAGGTCGCCATGTTCGACATTGTGTGGACACTCTCTCTCTCTCTCTCTTACCTCTTCTGCAACTGATTTGGAAAGGAAAAAGAGGAATTAGGGATTGAGATTTAAAGAACGATTTTAGGTATGGGATGACGATTTTGCCCCTTATTTTTCATGTAAGAAGACTATTATACCCTTTTAAAGAGTCTCCGATGGCCGAAAGTGGGTAAGTGCACAAAAGAGCAAAGTTCATACCGGTTAAGTGCTAAAAGAAAAGTTTAGTGAGTAAAGTGTAAAAATGCGGATAGTTGAGTAGGCAAAGTGTAATTTTTCCATTTTTTTTAAATAGCTTGACTTTTTTAAGAATGTTTGAAATCTCAAACCAATTCACTGAGATTTGTATATAAGTTAAATATATCAAGATTCTTAAAATTTCAAGAAGTTCTTAAAAATTTCAACTGAATATATATATATGTCTCCTAAAAATCTTTACAAACTCAAATTTTAAAAAGATATAAATGTCACTTAAAATACTGAATAAATAGTTAAATACACACTCTGGGAGTCTAGGATGTGAAATTTATGTTGATATATGTATTTTGTTTTCGAATTCTAAAACAAATATTATAAATAAAATTAACGATAAATAAAACTAAATATCTAATATTTTTTTACCTCATAATTTTTAGATTCAAATTGAATACCTTACTATTCTATTATATAGAGTTTCTGAATTTTTAGTTGAATAACTTTTAGCTTTGTAATTCTTTTTTAAACAATAAATGAATTTGATATTATTTTTTTAATAAAACCTATGATTATTCAGGAACCTGTTTATTATTATAAATTATAATAATATCTATTTTTATTCAAGACACCATATATATATATTTTAAATTTTTTATTAAATTATGTTTAATAATTGTTCTTTATACAATAAACAATTATGAATGTTAATCCGTCTGTATCATGAATCATTTGTGTATTCAATTGGAATTTCAAGTGACATTTTTAGATTTTTTAAGATTTGAGATTTTGTAAGATAGAATAATCGTGAGATTTGAAGTGTGATTTCGTATAAGGTTTTTGTTTAAAAATATTGTTTAGAAATCTCACCAAATCTTAAGGGGGTGTATTCAATTAGGGTTCTTTGAGACTTTTTAAATTTTTTAAAAATTGATGACTTTTGTGGACTTTATGCAACTTTTAATGACTTTTGTGGATTTTTGAGATTGTTATGGAGACTTTTTAAGATTCTCACGGTGAACTTTTTGATATTTTCTAAGACTTTTATATAAATTTTAATATAATAATTGTATTTGTATAAAATGCTAAAAAAATAATGTGCATAATAATTAATATCAATAAAGTCAAATTAGTAATAAGAAATATTAATTTAAAATGTGTTATGATACTGAACACTATCTATTTAGCTAGAATGAAGACAAGAGAAAAAATATTATAACAAAGGAACTCGATAAGGAAAAAACCATGAAAAATATTAGCAGTCGAACCAAAAGAGTGCAATATTTAAAAAAAAAAATAGAAAAATAGAAAATAACAAAAATAAAATCAACAATACATCAAATATTTTGATGGCTGACTTCTAGTTTGGTGCTAATGATCAGACTGACACCAGAAAACCCAACTTTGTTCCGGACAATAGATTAATATTTTAATCATTAGTGCAACTTTTTAGGATAAGATCGTTTATCAAACCATTATTATCAAAACAAAATCACATAACAACCCAAGACAAAAAAAAAAAAAAAATCCATTATTATTTAGAGATTGCATAAAAAATCCCAAGACAAAATTATATAAAAAAGATAAATATACAGAAAAAAAACCAATATATATACATGTTGTTAAGTGGTTCGTTCCCACCAAATATGATCACGAACATTACACAAGCTCTACTAATTAATTTGCAAAGAACAATAATAAGAAAAAAAACTAAGAAGAAAAAACGAAGATAGTTGAAGAGTGTCTTAACTATTTTGAGTTAATGGGATTGGTGGTGAAAGTTGGGTGGGTCAAAGTTGAGAGAAAGGTGATGATGAGAGTAGGTGATAAAAGAGAGAAGGAAGAGTCTCACGTAAATCTCACAAATTTGGTAAGACTTTCGTATTTTTTCTTCATATTTTTGTTAAAAAAGTCTCCAAGAATCCTTTACTTTTAAAAGTCTTATAAAATCTTCCTAACTTGGATAATCAACAACTTTAAAGATTCTTGAGAAGTGTTAACTCAATACGAATACCCCTTAGAGCATCTCCAATGGTATATAGTCCATTTGGAGATGTATAACATGAAGAATGGGAGTTACAAAATTTTGTCTCCAATGGTGAATGTCAATTTAAATATAATTTGACATGTGTTACATTATAATTGGTTGGTGATGATATATATATATTTAATATTAATAAAAAATATAATAGATGATGTCTAGAATTACTTCTAGATATAGAAAGACTTCTAGACATTTAGAATGCCACATAAGATTAGTTATGCCACATGGCAATAAAAATGAGCAATCCATGGACCATTGGAGTTGCTCTTAATTTCAATAGTCCTAAAAAGTCTCTAAGACTCACCCCTGAGTGTTAACATATCCTAGTTTAGATAAGTTAAATATCTTTAAAAAAAGATTTGTAAGATTTTTTAAAATCTCAATTGAATACTCCAAAATTTTTAAAAGTCTTAAACAGTCTAAATAGGCAAAGATTTCTAATTTTTTTTTAAAAATATTTCTAAAATCATAAAAAGTTTTTTAAAAAAAATTGTCCATACCCCACTCAAATTTGATCAGCTCGAGAAAGTGAAACCCTAACCCACACTCCCGTCACCACCGCGTGCACTGCGGGCCCGCAGCTCCGCCTGATCCTCACCTCCCGGCGACCACTGGTCACAGCACGGGCGCTCGGATTTCCGGCTAACTTCGGTCCTCGTGGAAATCGCCACTTCCCACCGCCGAACGCGGCGAACTCGCTCCGTAGCATCTCCCTGTGATTCCCAGTCTGCGCAGTTTGTATTTGCTACTTGTTGAATCTTGAGTGTGAAATCTACACTGTTGTTAAAAAATTCCTAGTTCAGCTTGTGCGTCAAGCTTCATGTAATTAGACTTGAAGGTGACACAGAGAGAGTGATTTGGAGTGATGAAGATTATGGAAATGTGAGTTTAGGATTCAAGCTCCAGAAAAAAGATGTTTATATATTTTGCAAATTTTTATTGATTTAATTCATGAGAATCCATGTCGATTTGCTGAATCTGCTGAAAAGCCTGAACTGATGTCCTCGGCCGATGAGCGCGTTTTGAAATCTGTTAAACTGGAGCAAGATTTTGGCAGAAGCCATTTGCAGCAAAATGAGGGCACCAACTTCAGTTCTGCTCATCATGAAGAATCGAATTCCATTGGTAGAAGAAATGGTTCTGCAACTGTGTTGGATAATGAACAGACTCCAGCCGGTGATTCGAGTTTTGCCTCAACGTCGTCAATACGTCCAGCCCCTATTTGTCGGCAGTTCTGGAAGGCTGGAAACTATGACGACAAACTTAATTTGAAGCCATCATCTCAAAGTAAATTGTTATCTGTTTGTCGAAGTTGATCTTACTTAATATGATGATTGTCATTCTGAGATATGAAGTTCAATATAGCTAAAGGGGAAAATGGAAAAGAATGGATAGTGTTACATTTATTGGCTTCCGTCAGTATCCTTCTGTGTATTTTGTGGTATATAAATTTAATAAACTGCATGGAGGTCAACATTGCGTTATCTGACCTTTATTTGTTGCTATATTTGTTTGATTGGCAGATGGCACTGGTTATCTTCGGATTCATCCCAAATTTCTTCATTCTAATGCTACTTCACATAAATGGGCCTTTGGTGGTATGTTATGCTGATTTATTGCTCTGTTTCAGCTCACGTATATCAACTCCGATGCTGATTATTTTTTCTTTACCCCGTTTTACTCGTTCGACGCTTGCAGCCATGGCAGAACTGCTCGATAATTCAGTGGATGAGGTAATCGTCTATAAGGTTTCATGAATTTATATATTCAAACATATATGTAAAGAAAAAAAAATAAAGATGAATTATATCCTTCTCTTTACATCTGCATTCCAACACATAAACATAACTCCTTATATATTTTCAGACCAATATCTGAAGATGGGTACCATTTGATGCATCATGATTACTTTTCTTCTTTTCCTGAAACCAATACTGCCTTTGTCTGTTAATCGCTGTTTGACTGCTTAGATTAATTAGTGTAATCTTCTCTACGACGTTATCAGTCTTTCTCGTTTACAAATTACCTATTAAGGATGCTCACATAATGGACATTTGATAGCACCTATTTAGGTTGTCACTTGAGTTTGAATTACCTTATAGAAATTGTTGCGAAGCTGCCGTTTAAGGTCGTGCATGCAGGCTTGGTTACTAAAATAATGTCTCTTACTCTGCTTGCATAAGTGCCAATGTGACTTTACATTGATGCTAATTTATCTTGTGTTCTATGTCTTGTTTGTTTGTAGATAAAAAATGGGGCGACTTTTGTCATGGTGGATAAAACTTCAAATCCTAGGGATGGAATTCCTGCTTTGTTAGTACAAGGTAGTATTATTGTTATTGTTATTGTTATTGTTGTTGTTGTTGTTATTATTATTATTATTATTATTTTGCAACTTGATAAATTGAAAGATAGTAATTGCAATTATTATTTTTCATACTAGATGATGGTGGTGGTATGGATCCTGAAGCAATGCGGCGTTGCCTTAGTTTTGGGTTTTCAGATAAGAAGTCGAAAGATGCTATCGGACAGTGTGAGTATGAAAATAATTTTTTTCTTCTTTATCTTTTTCAGCATGGATCGTGTGATGTTGACTTATAGAGCATTTCAGATGGAAACGGGTTTAAGACGAGCTCTATGAGACTTGGGGCTGATGTTATTGTCTTCAGCCGTTGCAAAAGTTCCAGGTTTCTTTGATGTCTGCATTCGTATATATTTTATATGTTCTGCCCCTCTCTTGGCCCTGAATTCATTGTTGCTTTGAGTTTGTGTTAAATATGCGAGGATATATGAAACAGTCGCTACAATGTCACTGTTTTGTAAACTGTGTTTTTACTTTGGCCGAAATGTAATAAACGAGCGTATAAACAAAAGATGAGATTGTTATTGCATTTTCTTGGGAATGCTTGATGATTTGTGTTCACTTCTCCATATTCCTCTTCCTTGAAGTCCATTGATGGATATGTTCTTGGAAGCATCTCGTCGAATCACATTTGCGATAAGCATTTGACAATTGACAGTTAGGAACAAAAATGCACAGACGGTGACCACATTCCGTTCTTGTGCATCTTTGGTTAAGATGTTTTTGTTTTTTTTGACATCATAAAATTGTATTATCATAGATTTTTCCTGCACGTCTTATGTTGACAATGCATAGGTTGATATTTATTTGCTCTTTTGACATGACAAAAAATTATATGACCGTGTTTAGATCATCCTTGTCTTTTAACTTTTATCGTAATTATCTATTTTTATTTCTTTAACCAGGAGATTGACCCAAAGCGTTGGTCTGCTATCTTATACGTT